AAAAAAAAAAAAAAAAAAAAAAAAAAAAAAAAAAAAAAAGAAAATGCTCTATCACTAAGCTCCACCCCCAGTCCCTCACTGAAGGATTCTAGGCAGGCACTGTACTAATGAACTGGCCCCCGTCCTATGAGAGGTCTGTTTGTCTCCACACTAGACAACTGGACAGTCCCCAAGAGAGAAGCATACCTTCTTACCATGTCCTCTTCATCTTAAAACAGGGCTGATGTGGCACAGGCTAACCTCAAACCTACTATGAAGCTGAGGCTCCTGATGCCTGATCCTCTGCATGCACCACACCTGACCTGGCCATGTTCTCTATATCCACAAGGCCTGCTGCATAATGGGAATGGGAAAGGTGGCCAACACGGAACTAAGCTGGTGACCCCCATACACTCGACTCCTCTGTTTTTTTTTTTTGTTTTTTTTTTTTTGAGACAGGGTTTCTCTGTAGTTTTGGAGCCTGTCCTGGAACTAGTTCTTGTAGACCAGGCTGGCCTTGAACTCACAGAGATCTGCCTGCTTCTGCCTCCAGTGTTGGGATTAAAGGTGTGCGTTACCACCACCTGACTTGACTCCTCTGTTTAAAGAACTGCATTTAGAGCCAGGTATGGTGTGTGTGTGTGTGTGTAAAATTCTAGAACTGGGGAGGCTGAAGCAAGAGAATTGCTAACCTGGGCTACAGAGGGAAACACTATCTCAAGAAAACAGATAAAAAATGTTTAAGAAGATGAGATGTGGGCTGGAGAGATGGCTCAGTGATTACGATCACTGGCTGCTCTTCCAGAGGACCTGGGTTCAATTCCTACCACCCACATAGTAGCTCAAAACTATGGGAGCTCACAACTGTCTGTAACTTCAATATCTGACACTCTTATACAGGCATACATGTAGCAAAACACCAATGTACATAAAATAAAAATAATTAAAAAAAAAGAAGAAGATGAGCCAGACGGTGGTGGCACTCGCCTTTAATCTCAGCACTCCTACCTAATCTCTCCTTCTACCATGTAAGTCCCTGAGACCAAACTCAGATCATCAGGGTTCTAGGCAGGAGCTTTTACTGACTGACCTGTGTTGCTGACCCTAAAACTTGATTTGTGTGTATGTGTGTGTGTGTGTGTAGTGTGTGTCCATGAGATGGGCAAAGTTTATGGAGTCAATTCTCTTTCCATCTTAGATTCTTAGGACAGAACTCTTCAGTTTTGCATGGTGAGTGCTTTGCCCACTGAGCAATCACACCAGCCCCTGCCCTGTCTTTGAGACAGGGTTTCATGTGTCCCTGGTTAGTTTTGTAGGCCTCTTTTGTGAAGCTGGTTTCTTGTAAGTGATGGTTCATGACAATGTCAACACCAGTGACTACTGTGCTTTCGGTACCTTCGCCCTCTGGGCCTTCAGCGGAAGCATTCCCACCAATGAGCGAGTCATCGATGTTACCCTCTGTTCTACTGACCATCTTGCCCTCCACCTCCAGGCACAGCCCGTCCGCGATCTCCCGGATCTTGTAGATGTCGGAGAACAGCTCGTCATGGCTGATGATGTCCCGGTAGATGATCATGGTGGCGTCTGGGGACGGCGGCGCTAGCCTGACAGCGCGGAGCGAGCGCGGTGCAGCCGGAGCGGCGCTCGGGGGGAGGGGGGAGCGGGCGGAAAAGGCCCTCCCTGATTAGTTTTGAACTCGTTCTGTAGCCAAGGGTAACCCTGAACTCCTGATCTTTCTGCCTCAGCCTCCCAAGTCTTGAGATTGTTTATCTGTGTGGGTTTGGTTCTGCTGCAGGGTTTCCAAATGAAGCCCAGGCTGGCCTTGGACTAGGTATGTCACTCAGGCTGGCTTCGATCCTGTGATCCTCCTGTCTCAGACTCAACAAGATGGCTCACTTGGTAAATGTGCTGGGTACAAAACCCGACGACCTGAATTTGATCCTTGGAACCTATATGGTAGAAAGAACCAACTTGGCCAAGTGTCTTCTGACCTCCACATGACCTCTACATGAGCACAGCCAGATATGTATACACAGTAAAGAAATAAATGCAAACAAAACAAAAAACAATGAATGAAAAAAATATGGAGATAGCCTACTATGGATCATGCTTGTAATCCCAGCATTCAGGATGCTGAGGCAAGAGTTCAGGGCCAGTCTGGGCTACATACTGAGACTGTTGGGTTATGTAGGCTCTGGATCCCTGGGTTTGTAAGAGCTGGTCCTGAATAAAATAATAATAAAGAATTGGGGTCAGGTGTAACATCACAGACCTTTAATCCCAGCATTGGCAGGCAGAGGCAGGTGGATCTCTGAGTTTGAGGCCAGTCTGGGTCTATAGAGTGAGTTTCGGGACAGCCAGAGTTCTATAGTGTGACCCTGTCTCAAAACAAACACAGATTTGAAAATAAATGTGGGAGCCTGGAAACAATCAGCCTGGAGGGTTGGGGTGGTTTGGGGGGCACAGGTGGATCATCTGAGGTGTTGAGGGGAAGATCTGTCCCTGGAGGAGCATCCTGAGAGATGACAGGTGAGAGGGATGGGGTTGAGAGTGGCCAGCAGGGAGGTTCCTGGGAACCTGTTTTCTCTGGAAAGTAGAAGCTGAAGTCATTGCTGAGTCATGGCAGGAGGAGGGGAGGAGGCTAAGAGGACAGCCTGCCAGTTTCCCGGAGCTCCTGAAGTGGGTGGGGGTGAGGGCTTAGAAAGACTGACCATTCTGCAGTCATCTGGGCCTGGAAGCCATGTCCTAAGGGCCCAGCCACCTGTCCCACCCTGAGGATTTCTCTTAACAGTGCTAAGCTATGTAGGTTGAGAAAGTTGAAATCAGACCACCAGGATAGACAGGATTCAGCATGGCCACTAGATGGGTGAAGGATAGTACTGGCAAGGAGTGGGTGTAGATATTGGCCTTACCTCTGTCCGAGCAGGGTACTGGAAGCTTTGCGGACACTGAAACCCAGAGACAGAATAAGAGCAGATTCCCCTAGACAATCAGAGAACACTCAGGAGAATGGGGCTGACCTGGACAAGAGTTGGGGGTGTGGCTCAGCTGTAAAGCATCTTCCCCGGATCTCTTAGGGAGGTGGGCTTAGAGTAGAGTGTCTGCTTAGAATCCCCCAGTGAGGGGCTGGGGTGTGGCTCAGTGGGAGAGCACCTGCCTAGAATCCCCAGTGAGGGGCTGGGGTGTGGCTCAGTGGTAGAGCCCAGTCCATCATGAGCAAGGCCCCAGTTCCATTCCCTGCACTAGGGAGGCAGATCTCTGAGTTCAAGGCTAGCCTGGTCTACAGCGTTTCAGGACAGCCAAGACTACACAGAGAAACCCTGCAACCTGTCTCAAAAAAAAAGGGGGGGGGAGGCTTGCACCTTGATTATAATTGTGTGGGTCCCCCCCCCAGACATAAAGAAACAAGGTTTAGGATTGTGTACTGACAGCAGGGGAAGTTGGATTGTATTCCTACTTCCTACTGGGGAAGTAGAGGCAATAGGATCAGGAGTTCAAGGTCAGTCTTGGCCATGCCACTGCTAGGAGGAGGATCAGCCTGGAAGAGGCAGTGGGGGGGAGTGGAAGGGGGGGGGAGAGAGAGAGAGCCGGTAGAAGAACAAGCAGGAAGTCAACTTGATGGGGACGGAGACAGTGAAAGGGAAGATGCTGAGCAAGCTGGTCAGATGCCAGGGTCATCCTGGAAACTGCTGGGCTGGACCCAATCAGGGCATGATGGATGGCTGCTTTGAGAAGGCAGAAGCCACCAGTCTATGCAGCTGGCCTGTCTCTTCTCTCAGTATGATCTGCAGAAAAAGCCCAGCCTGGAGCAGGCATGGTACTGTAGAGTAAGTAGTGCAAGCCTGTAACTGCAGCACTAGGTAGCAGAAACAGGATTAGCAATTCAAGGTCATCCTCGGCTGCACCAAAAGGACTAGTTGGGCTATACCAGGCTCCTCTGAAGCAAAAAAAAAAAAAAGGGGGGGGTGCGTAGGGGAGTTTTGGTTGCTGTCACCTCCCTGGTAGTTCACAAGCTCCAGTTAAAGAGGAGCTGACATGTCTTTAGACCTCCAAGGGCTTCTACACACACATGTAACACATACATACACACATGCATATAAATAAACATTTTTAAAAATTTATGTGCATTGGTGTTTTGTCTGCATGTATGTCAGTGTGAGGGTGTTGGCTACCCTGGAACTGGAGTTATAGATGGTTGTGAGCTGTCATACAGGTCCTGGAAAATTGAACCCAGGTCCTCTGGAAGAATAGCCAGTGCTCTTAACTGCTGAGCCATCTCTCTAGCCCCCATAAACATTTTTTTAAGCTAAAAGAAAGACAAAGAGTGCAAAGATTTCTGGGTTTGTTTTTGGGTTTATTTCGAGACGGGATCTCGCTATATATATATATCTGGCTATCCTGGAACTCACAGAGATCCTCCTGCCTCAGCAGTGCTAGGATCAAAGGCTCAAGTCACTATGCTCAGCTAAGATAGTAAAGATTCTGCCAGGTGCAATGGTGCATAGCGCTGAGTGCCTGTAAACACAGTCCTCAAGAGGTGGCAGCTAGAGGCTCAGGACATTATGGGCAGCTTGCATTACATAGAAGACCCCCGCTTTATGAACAAAATTAAGGGGGAGAAGTTAGCCAGGCAGTTTGATTGTGAACCCAGCTCCCATGGATTCTTAATTTCTTTTCTTTCCTTTTTTTTTTTTTGGTTTTTCGAGACAGGGTTTCTCTGTAGCTTTGGAGCCTGTCCTGGCACTAGCTCTTGTAGACTCTTTTATTTTTTTTTTTCCAAGACAGGGTTTCTCTGTAGCTTTGGAGCCTGTCTTGGGACTAGCTCTTGTAGACCAGGCTGGTCTTGAACTCACAGAGACCTGCCTGCCTCTGCCTTCCAAGTGCTAGGATTAAAGGCGTGCAACCCCACTGCCTGATGGATTCTTAGTTTCTAAAATTCCTACCAATTGGGGCTTGCCAGGGGGTCCACTGAGTAAAGGTGCCTGGTGAGAAGCCCAAAGAGCCTCAGTTGGAGGTAGGAGAGAACTGACCCCCCCCACTTGTGTGTGGTGGCCGAGGTCTGCCTGCATTTGTACATACACAGTATGTACACAAAAACACAATAATAACAGAAAATGGAAATTAATCTTTTTCTTTTTTAGGCATTTGTCATAGTGACTAAAAGCAGCCCAGCAGACGTGAAGAAATCCATTTCCATCTATTCACATCCATGACCTTCAACACTATTTTTATTTATTTGTTTATTTGAGACAGTCTAAAGTAACTCAGGTTGTCCTTGAACTTGCTCCTTGGAGACTCCTCCAGATTTCACCTCCTTAGGGCTCTGATTGTAGTTGTCTGCTGCCAAACCCAGTTTAAGCAGTGCTGGAGATCAAACTCAGGGTTTCATGCATGCTAGGCAAGCACTCTACCAACTGAGCCACAACTCAGGCCAAGTTTTTCTGTTGTTGTATTTGTTTCCCCCCGCCCCCCAGATAGGTTCTCACCACGTAGCCCAGGCTTGGAACACCTGCCTCTGCTTGTCTCCACAGTGCTGGGACTAAAGGTATGAGTTACCATGCCCAGATCTAGTATTTCCCATTTTATTGTGCATGCTCTGCAAGTGTGTGTGCACATGTGTGAGCACGTAAGAATATGTGTGTGTGGGGGGGGGATACGTGGGTGTCTGGTAAGAGTGCAGATGTGTACATGAGACAGAGGATAACTTTAGGAAGTCAGTCCTCTCCTACTTTCTTTTTTTTGTTGTTGTTGTTTTGTTTTTTGAGACAGGGTTTCTCTGTAGCTTTGGAGACTGTCCTGGAACTAGCTCTTGTAGACCAGGCTGGCCTGGAACTCAGAGATCCGCCTGCCTCTGCCTCCCGAGCTCTGGGATTAAAGGCGTGTGCCACCACCACCTAGCTAGTTCTGGGAATTGAAGTCCCATTGCCAGTCTTTTGCAGTTTGATCACTGGCCCCAAACTGTTTTGTTTGTTTGTTTGTTTGTTTTTCTTTTTCGGTTTTTCGAGACAGTGTTTCTCAGTAGCTATGGAACCTGTCCTGGAACTAGCTCTTGTAGACCAGTTTGGCCTCGAACTCACAGAGATCCGCCTGCCTCTGCCTCCCGAGTGCTGGGATTAAAGGCGTGTGCCACCACCCCGCACCAAGCTGCATTTTTGATGCTCAGTGTTCTCACTAAGTAGAAACAACTCTCACTTTTCAAGGTGTCCAGGTGGACCGAACAAGATATCACATGGAAAAGCGCTCCCATGAGCTAACTGCTGCCAAACTCGGCACGGACGTGGGCTCCTCCAATTTATGCCAAGGTCTTGAGACAGAAGATTAACCAGGGTTGCAGAGAGCAGGTGCCACTTTGTCTGCAGCCTCTCAGCCTACCTGACAAGCGATGGAGGGGCTCTCTAAGCCCGAAGCCTCTCACACTGGGGCAACCAGACAGCGGAAATAGAAGCCAATGATGGTGCAAACACCCGTGTCCCAGTCGGCCCGTGGGTGACCTCGGGCAGGTCAGTCCTTGCTCTGAGTATTTCTTTCTCTACCTGCTGAGAGTGAGTTATTAAAGACTTCCACTCGAGTGGCAGGGCCAATCATAAGACAATACAGGCTCCATTAGGGTGATCTTACACATATAAATCGCTGTGATAGCGCAGGCTGTGTTAAAATCTTCAGGCTAACAGGAAT